AACCTGAATACACAATTTCAACAAGAAGGAAGGCTGGTTCCTTAGAAATATACCATTAAAGAAGTATATGCTCGAAACATCGCTTTCAATATCTAGTAACAAGATGTATGATGAAAGGTATTGCTGAGGTAACAAGATAAAAGCAAAAATCTTCGATTTATTCCGAAAAGAAACGGTCTAGCTCGGAACTTAGCAAAGAGGAAATGAAAGGATACAGAACAAATTGATAGATTACACAGATGTCGCAAAATGAGAACAAACGCTTTGAGACTGTGGGCTTCACAGTCCTTCTAAACAGGTAATTGTCCTAGACCCTTTTCTATGGTACTTCAAGAACCGGCGGAGCCTTTAGGATATCGCTCCGAGGTATAACAGAAACAGGCTCAAATAACTTCTAGTTGATAGCCATTTTTACAGGATGACTAGACTGAATGGGTTCATCTATAAGAAATCAGGAACCTCAGAGAGATGTATGATGTCTTATCGCATCCATGACAACTTGGTGGCGCCGCGCAGCCACTGACGCCATTGATGAAAATAGATTCTCCTCTGTGAGAACACCACGAATAGACATAGCCAAAACGTTGGTACCATCCGTTACAAATGAGACCTTTGCGGAGCATTTTTCAATGAGGTCATGAGGAGGATCAACCAGTAGCTGAAAAATGCGTTCAAAGCATTGTAAGTGAAGTTATGAGTGAAGTTATTTCGTATATATTGAAAACTCACAAACTCCTTGTTTTTACTTCGAAAAACGTAGAATGTGACAGCAACCGGCACCGTTGCTAAGGCTAAGGGCGTTGTCTGAAATATAAAAGAAATTACAACTGGACATGAGTTCGAGCCACTACTTCTCCCCAAGGAATTTCCAATTATTCTCCCCACCTCCCCCNNNNTCCACGGGTACTCCTTGGGAAGAAATAGTAAGGATCGAGGACGGGGAGAAGGAAGGGGGAGGAGGGGGGAGCAAGGAGGAGGGGAGGAGGACATGTGCGTTATCTCAGCAGAGCTGGAAATATAAAAAGAAGCATTGCATAATTATTTATACAAATGATCATGAATGTAGGTCCGATCGAGGTTGATTGGCCGGATTTCGTTGTTCTTTTGCTTCAGAACCAGAGGGTTCACATTTGAGGAATACAGGCTGGGATAAGTGAAAGAGAGCAACAAAAACTGATAAGACGGTTAGAATACAAAAACCACTGGAAATTGGGCACTTTCACTTCATTTTTGATATGATTTTTTAAATGAGTATCTTCACCTCATCGAGGACTGATATCTCTTCTTGTCGAAGGGGAGCCTCGTCGTCTTTACTATGCGTCAGTAGAATGGATGGCAGACGAGTATCGAATAATGCAGCTGAAACTGCACAAAACACAGCGTCTGGAATCGAGCCGTCGGAGTTGAGAATCTGAACAGAAAGGTTATAAACCTCGATTTTCTTGAGAACCTGGACAACTAGTCACAAACAGGCACCTACTTGCACACGAAAGATTAGCTCCCATGTCATAGATATTCCTTCATCATTTCCCTTCACGAGCAAAGCAGAACGAAGAGTAAGTGAATTGTTTGCAAAGACTTCCATAAGCATGTCATTGATATTGCTAATCTCTGCCTGAATTTTGTAAGACTTCAAGATGAGGCATAATAAAAATAGTTCAACAGCAGTAGAAACAAGTGGAAAAAAGTCATTGCTAAATTAAAGATCCGATCACATACATCTTGACAAAACAACATCTACTCCTCCTCGAACTGCATCAAAATTTATGGCTTCATCAACCCATTAACGACCGCGTGGCCCGCCGGCGGGCCACACCCCTATCGTGCCTTTGCAGTATTTATATTATTTATCAAGTGTTCTCATAATTTTTCATAATTTCAAGTATCAGCTAAGCTCATAGCCTTCTAGAGAATCTTGAGGCATTGTGACCCAAGAATTATTCATTTCCAACTACAGTTATAAGAGAAATTAAAAGTTAACGTAAGGACAATAAAAAAGGCGCGGGCACCAATGGGTTAAACAACTTCACTGTAAGCTTGACCCAATGGAACTCGTAATTCCTGACATACGAAATAGACGGGTCATGCGACGACGAAAGCTACATGCCGCCAAATGAAGTGTCACTGACCACGGTGCAAGCCCTTGCATTGTGGTCAATGACAACTCCTCATGGCCATTTTTGATCGCCCAATATCCTAGAAGTTTTTGACACCTCTTTTTGCATCGACCTCGTCGAATCACTTTTGACGGGCAGGGTCGAAACCTCTATGATATAGTTGCTTCGTATTGTCAAAATTGGCACCGCAGATACTCTAAAAATGCAGGAATAGTTCACAGCTCGGCATGAAGAGTGAAGATATAAAGCTGCGGTTTGAACCACAGGACAGCACATCTGGACTTCAGACACCAGATTCTGCATTCACTTACTTGCTCATTTCAGTTCGACGATTGAATATGAAAGCAAAGAGCAGCTTTTTCGCAAGGATTGTGATTGCAAGAGCATGCTATTTTGTGTAGCCAAACAGTACCTTTGGGATCAGCTCCAGACCGAGCGCGGGCATTCACACATTCGCAAAAGCTCGGATTTGGAAGTACGGTCAGTGATAATGTATAACGAATATGAGCTTACCTGTGAGACTGACGTACATGCATCAATCTCGCATGAAACGAGAGGCCCATCATGAACGAGAGCCAACGAAGCATGAACGGAGCACGAGACAGCGACGCCCCCTAATTTTACCAATGCCGATCCAACACCTCCCCAAGCACCAAGCTGAAAGACGGACAAACAGTATATGCATTTCGTGAGAAATATATGCCACTGAGAAACTGTTCTAACTTTGAAATAAAGCGATCTAAACGCCGATACAGAGCGTCCATCAGGATAAATCCCTTCATTAATGAATTGCTCATAATATTCCTCCGGCAAGCAACTTTTGAACCACTGCTCACCCATTGGAAAGTCCTAGAATGAATGAAATCGGTCGGTTCCTGTTTTGACGCCGCACTTGCGAAGTAACAAACCATTTTCATATTCTCGCACTCTTATATATATCACCATAAAAGAACGACTTTTTGGAAAAGAGGAAGGCAGGGGGAACGCGAGAACAATTCACCAATCTTTTCTTTATCACCTTTCCAGATGGGCTAACAAAACATCCCCTTAAGATCCCTTCCAAGAGCTTTTTATGCAGATTGTGAGCAATATCTATGGTCTGTCCCGCCTATTCTCCTTCGCTCTATTTCTTAGTTTTCTCAACGCTCCGTTCTACTCATTTCGGTAAGGTGAATATCTGACTCGAATCCTGCCCTAACCAAGGGTTCCGAAACAAGGAAACAGAAGGAACAAAAGTGCAGTGTGGTAATCAACGTAAAGCAGTCAATGCAAACACTATAAATAGTCTTGCTCTCCNCTCCTGTTCGAGCGTCGGGTAAAGAGGGAGTATGACGCAGATCGGGAGATAAGAGTAAGGAAATCGACATCTGGATACCCTCAATATGAACTCTTGTGCACTAGTGCGCCTTTGGACAAGAATGACCTATTTTGTAATTATACTAGATCAAATCTCAAAAAATCAAAATCTACTAAGCACCGAATTAAAATTGAAACTGAAATAATAAGGTTGGACGACATCAAAGGGCCTCCTCCAAATTCTGCAGAATTTCTGTAGACAATGTATTTCCTACGGCATAACAAGCGGGTATGGGTACGTTCGTCCGTTTGGAGGTGTGCGTGGCAAATTGCGTGGCGGAATTGGTGGCATTGAACGAATCTGAAGTCTATGATTGGGGTACAGTTTTGAAGTAGAGTAGATTAGTAGGGTCAGCTGATCGGTCTACTCTACCTATAATCCGTGCCCCCATGATAGACGCCTCAGTCGTTCAAATCGCCACTGATTTCGCCCCGCACACCTTCTCAGAGACGAAAATTCAGTACGGGCACTCGGCTCTTACAGTGTCCCCTTAGCTTTCGCTCCACCAACCACGTGTCCTTGCATTGGGCAGAACACGAGGGTATTTGTTACGAGAGTTTGCGTATTAAAATGGGATGCCGAATTAGGGTAAGAGCCGAGTGCCCGTACTAAATTTTCGTTTCTCTCACACCTCCAAACGGGCAAATGTTGTCCCATCCCCCATAACAAATCACGTTGCGCTTAANAGTCTCCCCCATGATGATGGCTAGGCTCTGGACGAATTCACAAGTTGGTGATGTACTCACGAGCCTCTCGTATACTTCATTATGGTGATGGAATGTCGTGCTGTGCATAAGCTTCACAACAATACAATCACCGTATCTGGCATACCTACGACTGAATTGCAAGAATACGGTAAAAGTGAAACAGAATTTTGTTCTGTGGAATGACGTCCATTACAAAACCAAATGGATTGAAGGCTGTACGAGTTTTACTGTAATATGTGCCCTTTCAAACACGTAGTTCTAAAATACACCCAACTGACAGATAAGCAGACCTATCAAAAGCATGTAGTACACCGCAATGAAAAGAAAGGACTAGCTGCGAGTAAGAGCTTCCGAGAGCCTTGGATTTTCTTCCTCGAAAAAGATAAAAACGAATCGCCTAAGAAGGACGTTATCCAGCCATCTCTTCTATTTTCTGATCGTAGGTAGCAATAAATCAAAGTTGCAAAATCCAAAGCATGACGAAATTCGCTAAATTATCCAACAAATGAACATTAAAAACGACTATAGGGTACTACATCATACTGCAAATGAATGGACTAGTAAGATTCAGCTCAAACACGACATAGCAGTTCAAATACAAAATGATTAGCTGCCGAAGAGAATTCAGACCAAAAAGTGACTTAGGCGTCCGA